ACATTCAACATTCGGCTCCTTGCATCACTATTCCCCAAACAGTTCTTGAATCAATTTTCAGAGTCTAGTACTTCAAACATATTTACACTTAAAATTATAATTTTTTTTACGTTTCAGTCAGTTTGGATGACCAAAGCTATTACCCAGCACTTAGCCAGCAGCTGGAATGATTACAGCCTTCTCCCTTGTGTCTTTCCTGGTATTTCAGATCCGATTACCTTTCCCAGTCTAGAACTAGCATATACATGCTAGACTTAAGTTTCTTCTCTTTTCTGTTACTAGACAAACTAATTGCTTTAGCCTGTTACAATTTTAGGCCTTTCTACCTCCCCCTCCCATTCAATTGATCAAATATTTCTGGAGGGTTTGAACTTCAGATGAGACAACTGACCAGCCCATTTTTTCTTAGTTTATGAGGTTGGACAACAAGTCATGAATTTGCACAGTTTGGATCATGCTTGCTGCAGATGGAATCTAATTTGCTGGGTCTCTGTCAAGCCTCTGGGAAATTCACTTCTAAATTGATGGGAATAAATTCTGCTAATAAATTTTCAAGGGAAAAGGGATATAGACCTGTCTAGCACAAAGGCTGTCTGAAAGTCATTCTAAGATAAGAAGCCTGTTGAGTTTTCAATGAAAGCCTTATCCTTTTTCTAGATAATGGTCATTGTATTTTGGTTAGTATTTTTCATAAAGCAGCCCCCAACAGCAACATGATATGAAAGATATTGTGAATAATTTGAATAACTTATGTGCTATTGAAAATAGTTTTGTTGGTGGGAAGTACTTGGAACTGATAATGAAAGGCCATATCACCATCGTCTCCTATAATTGCAAGTTCTACTCTTATAAATGGATTAAGGCTGCCACACATTTTTCTTTGTCAGGAACTTCTTTAAAATACTTTTTATCAATAAAGCTGTTATTGAGATGTGGTAATTTTTATTGTTTGCACAGACGATTGCTTATGCACTCACAGTAGTAATTGTTCATGTACTTTACAGTAGTGGTCTTAGTGTGTTTTGTATAAGTAGAATTTTTTGACAGCTTATTTATTCCTTCTCAACTCATCATGAATTGATCCCTTTTGTTACTAGCTATTGCTGTAAAGCACTGTGAGAGCAACATGCATGTTGTCAGCAGAGTTTCCTGAAGTGACCAGCATCTAAAGAATTCCCTTGTTTTACTATCATCTCAGGCCTTACTATTTAAATGTCCCTGTGGAGCTTCAAAACAGCTCCAGCAGCAAATATCACTAAACTTTTACCAAGGCAAGATTTCATTATCAGATACCATCTTTCCTAATTCATTTTGCTGGCTGTTTCCTCCCTCCACTGTATATGTTTCCTGTAGGATTTTGCTGTTGCTGTTTTTTCCACATAAGGTGGTATTCAAGCCAGGCATGTATGTTTAAAATAGGATGATGTAAAATGTCCCACAAAGAGCAACAATCTGGACTCTATTAATGATGAAGTACACAGGATCTTCATTCCACACATTTTTGATGTAAGCTTCTTTTTCTAGGTTACCAAATACTAAAATTTAGCCATTTGCTTCTAATTATTAGGAGCAATATTCTAATTAAAAGGGTGAAGATTAGATATAAGATTATTTAAAATTATTATTATTACTATTATTATTATTAATTATTATCTATTTTTTTGCTTTAGTATTTATCTTAAAACATTCTGGCTTTTAGAGTTGTTAGGAAATTCTGCTAGCAACAGATTACTTTTGTTTTAATGCTTGAGAGAGAAATGTCATATGAATATGCAGTCTGCTGACAGTACAGTGGGAACATAGACCCATGTAATAAAGAAACCACAGCACTGAACTCAACAAATATGACATTTTGATAGAGGATTCAGCAGGAAAAAGGACTAGTCTAACATATGATCACACACTAAGCACTGCGGCTTTTTACATCCACTGTCCAAAAATCTGTAAAAAAAAAGTAGAGATAGTTTAAAGATTTACAGATAATTTATTTCCATCCTTACTGCATTCTTTTGTCACTCTCCCTCCCCTCATTTGCTGAGGAAAATGAAAACAAATAAATAAATAAACCAGATAGAATTAAACTGAAGTTTCATCCTAGCGTGAATTTGATTTCATTCATTCATTCATTCATTCATTCATTCATTCATTCATTCATTCATTCATCTATATTTCAAAGTACTTTAAGTCCATAGCTTGTAAACCAGAGAAATATATTGAATACTAATGGACACAAGTAATAATTAATTAATAATTAATTGGTTAAGAAGGAAACATTGATTGTTCATATTTAGAATAAGCTATGGACTTACTTACTCTTTTATTAATAAAAAACTTAAAGATGATATTTATTTGGTGTTAATTATGTGACCACCATTAAACTATTTTAAAGGAGTTTTTGTTGGTTTTTTGGTTAATTTATTTTTTTCTGCACAAATATATTTATTGTTTTAGATGACTAGAAAGCATTTAAACTTCTAAAACATCAATGAAAGCTATGTTTGAATGTTTGGGTTTTGTTACTTTTTGTTCTCTACATTGAGTTGTTCTCTGTGTAGGTACAGAAAATTCTGATCAGTATCAGAGTCATCTCTAGCAGGCATCTTTTGTCTGAACAATTACTTTTTTACTTTTTACAATTAATTATGTTAGTTGAACAGCATGCTAATGATACAGGAACTCATCCATAAATGGGGTAAAAATCCCACCAGCAGTGTAAAAAAATGGATGGAAACATAACAGACCTGTTGTAGTGATCACTGCATTTTTTTGGTGGTACAGATGAGAAGAGAATGGAATAGAGTAGAATAGTTTGCTGCATAAAATAGGGATATTGAGAGGAAAAAAATAAAACAATAGGTTGTGTTTAGATTTCTTGCTGGCTGTGTGTAGGGCTGGATGCATTTCTTCAAACTTCAGGCAGCTACAATATGGATTCGAATACCTCATTTGTTTTCCAGGCTTTCTTTGTAGATAGTAGCAAAAGCCAGACTTTTTCAGGGTGAAATTCATCTCCTTTTGAGGTTGATAACTAAAATACGTTGGATGAATTGTGCTATTTAGAAGTACTTATTTCTCTCTATTGACTAGAAATGGAAGCAAACAAGCTAGTATAGACAGTGTCTAGAAGTCAGATGAGATCTATCTCCTTTCTTATGACTAAAAAGAGCAGATGATGTCAAAGAATGGTCTCACTTTTGTTCATGTGATGGAATTATACTGTATTGCTTTTGGAGATTTTATTTTAATATAGACAAAAGGTTACTTTTATTAAATATTGCCCTTGAAAAGTCCCACAGAAGCTCAAAATAACTGAGATTTATGCTTCCTTAGCCCTTTTTAATTCTCCAGGTTTTTTTCTCTGGGTGATAGTTGATCTTGCCCAAGTTCCTGCTGTTCATACCAGCTATATTTTGGTCTTTATGCACTTATGGAAACGTAGGACTTTTATTTTTCTATATGTTAATTTGCATAAATGTTTTTAACCATTACAAATTGTATTCTAAATTTCTCAGTATTTTAAACTTCATCCTGTGAGAAGTGGAAAGAGCAAATTTTGATTTTCAATAGATTCTACCAAATGCAATAGTTACTATCCAAGTGGGCAGCTCTTACTTCAAAACCTAGCCTGTGGCAATATTTCCATGGGAAGCCTTGCATAATGCTAAATCTTTCCTATAAGCCCACACAAAAATGTTAAATTCCTTCTGAACTCAATAAACACCTCATAAAAAGAACATAGGATAGAAATGGATTTTAAACAAAAGCTAGCTAGGAAGCAGGAAGGACCTCGATTTTCAGAGTGCTGAGCCTATTTTTGTTGTTTCATTTAAATTCCTCTTCCTTTTGAAGTAACATGCAAACAACATTTATAGTCTACAAATGAAATCAATTAAGAAGCTATGAGTGAGACTTGAGTTGTTTACAAAACTGAGAGTCTACGAGTTTCCAGTGAGAAGTTGAGTTGTCTGCTTGGAGGCTATGCTATCACTCTGCTAATAAAAAAATTAAAAACCAGAATAAAATGTCTGCAAAATAACAATTAGAGAAAGAAGGGGGAACCCAGATTAAATATTAGAAAACAGTTTTGATTTCCTGTTGGGATGCAGATTAATATTTATTAGTGTAAGTTTAGATATTGAAAGGTCTTTTTAATCAAGGTGAGAGGCAATTTTCATTAGCTGATTTTTAAAAATGGATAAATATGCATGAACAGATTAAATATCCAAGTCATAGCAAAATTCTAATAAGGATAAAAAGTATATTGCTCTGTAATTCACCAAAGGAAAAACATTTGCTTTCCTTTTCAGTTGCAGAGACTATTCAGTTGCTATTGTGAAGGGGGAAAAAAAAGTGTGTATATATATATGTATATATATATATATCTAGAAAGAGAACTGGATAGCTTTTTTTTTTTTTCATTAGATAGGAAGAAGAAATTATTCAGGAATAACTTATATAGTCACTGGACCATTTCACTGGTAAGATTTATTTTCTAAGCATTATTTGTGCTTACGTGCTGCATTTCAGCTCTATTCACAATGAATGCACTTTCCCTCTCATTTTAATCAACAATTTTGTGGTGCTATTGCTGACAGTACATGTCAGAGGGCTCCTAATTTATCCTTGGAGTAAAGCTATGCAAGCCACTGGCTTTTCATTAAAGATAAATTTGACCAGTTGGTATGTGAACCTACTATAAGTTATAAAAAAATAACCCATTACAATGAAGTAGTCAAGCAAAGCCTTTTAGCTCAAGATCTTTGTTACCTGCTATAAAAACTGTCTGCTGCCTTGACAACTGAACTGCATCATACTCCAAATGTGTTTTGACACTGTTTCTCCCATGTTTAGAATGACCTAGTGAAGGCTTGGAGGTTACATATGGCCCATTAATTGATTGATAGGAGCATGATCTAGAATCCAGATTTCATATGTTGCACAGTAACACTCTGTGCTGGTTTTGCATTACTTGACTTTTGGTGAGGAGGGAATGAGCCCAGCCATGAAGTGATGTTCTAAGAGAAGCTGCTAACAGCTTCCTCCATGCCTGGCAAAACCAATTGCTGGCTGGCTCTGAGAATAGGTATGCTGGTAAGCCAATGAGAGAGTTAAACATGCCCCTGTGAATTCACATTTTGAACTCCAGGAATTTCTCTTTTTCTTCCGGCCTGAGTATAGCAACAGGCTGGCCCAGCAGCTCTGCACAGCTGGGCTGGGCGGGCTCTGCCGCAGGGCCCGGCCCCTTCCCGGGAATCCTGCCAGGCCCCATCCTGGCACGGCAGGGCCCTGCTCTGCTGCAGCACTGGCTGAGCCGGATACCCCTCTCCCCAGCACAGCCAGGCCGGCCCGTGGCTCCCTTGGAATGCTGCTGCTGAGTCTCAGCAAAAAGCACCGAGCAGGAGGATGGGGAGCCATCGACCCACGGGTGCTGCCCTGTGCTCTGGCCTGGCTGCTGAGATCCTGGCTTACCCCCGGCGCCGCTGCCGAAAAACTCGCCACCTTAAACAGCTCTGACTGGCACCTGGCAGGGATAACACAACCCTCTGCAGGCCTCGGGCCAGATATGAACTCTTGCATTGCACAGATGAGACTTGCACACCTTCCACCCTCTTTCGAGTGAGAGAAAAGGGCAGAATGAAGACACGTAGAGAAACAACATGAGGACACCAAGGTCAGTGCAGTAGAAGGTCCCAGATGGAAAGGATTGATAGAGATGCCTCACTCTTGGGCTGAAATCCTCTTGTAAGGCCATGGAGAAGATACAATTGATACATCAGACTCTTTTTCCCTGTAACTCGTTGAAAAGCATGGAGGGGATGAGGCATTCAAATTGTAGGTGTGAGCAAAGGCATTCACGCTACACAAGCCGATGTTGAAGTGGCTGTGATCCCATGAGAAATTTGAACAGAGAGAGAGTGATGAAGACTTTTTGCCCCAGGGAAGAAGAAGGATATCTCTTTTCCTAGAGATGAAGATGATCTCAGAGATAGATGAAGAGAACCTTTTTTTTCTGAACAGCTCATCCTTAAAAGTGTACCCCATTAGCCAAAGATCGAGCCCTCAAAAACAGTTGTGGGGAAACTGTAAGTCGTGGGGAGAGACTTTTACACAGTGATCAGATTTCCATTCTCCCGGGCAGCTGATTCACTGTGACACTGAAGCCACGAGACAATTGTTTTCTTGTGGAGAAGTCTCCATAGCGTGATGAGAGAGACTCCTCTCCCTAAGTGAACTGAAGAAAAACAATTCTAGAGGTGATAAACTGATTGATTTGTTTCTGTATATTGTCAGTGGGAAAGAAAAGAGGAATGTGGGGGGGAGAAGTGGTCTGAAAAGTTTATTCTGATTCTTACTATTGTTTTAGTTCTGTTAATAAAGTTTGAGTTTGAAGTTTGAGCCTGCTTTGCCTTCCTCCTAATCCTGTCTCACAGCAGGAAATGAGTAAATAATTCTAGTGAGTACACTGGCATTTTGACCAGCATGAAACCCACCACATAAATTAGTGCATTGGCTGGGAAATCTCAAACTGGTTAACCAAAACCACAACACGAAATTCGGGATTCTGTGCAGTTTCTAACCAAAACCTCTACACAGTTACACTACACTGCTGCTACACTCTTGGGTTGTGGTGCATTATCATGTGTAATGTTATAGGTCACCTCAATACATCTTGGTAGACATAGTTACAATGTGATATTGATTAAAGACTTTACTTTTTTAATTTCTCCCTGTCTAAAAGGGAGGAGGAAATCATACAATAAAATTTCTAACCGCAGGAGGTTGGTTTGGCTGAAAGTGATTGGTTGAGTTTCACTTCTAGGAAGAAGGGATGAGTTTGATTAAGTTTGTTCTAAGGTTAGCATGACATTTCTGTAGCATCCTGCCTCGTGCTCAGCTCCAGAGTTTCAAGGCTTTGAGTGCATCTGAAGTGAGTTAATAAAAAACAGACACAGGGCAAACTCTGCTGTCTGATCATAAAAACATTGTAGTAGAAAGATTTATTAAGGGGAAAAATAAATAAGAAATAATAAGACTCTTCAAACTGAGGAAACTGGGTGAAAAAAACTTGCAAACCGTGTGTAGGTGGCTATCTTACAGGTTCTGCTAATGGGGCAAAAGAAGAGAGCTACAGTGCCTTAATTACCTCTGTTTTTTTCACAGGTGTTCATGGGATCTGGGCACAGCAGTTCCTGTCTCACGTTTAATTTGAGCGAACGACAATTCCTTCAGGAGGCTTTCCCTATGTGCTTAATTGTTAGCTACTGTAATAATGGACATGAATCCAGCTGCTGAAAGTAAAATCAAAATGAAAATTTAAAACATTACCTGGCTGTTTATCTAATCTCTGAAATAACTTCATTAAGTTACCTTCCCATCTCCTTGCCCTCCTGCCGTTGTAGCACAAGTTCTGAGGAGATGTGGGGGAAAGCATAAGTGCTATAGCTGGCTCAAGAATAGAATCTCAACTGATTGAAGCCCTGAACAGGTCCAGCCTGTTAGTCTGGTGAGAGCAGGGAGCACAAGCAGCTCTTAGACTCTTCCTGTGCGAGTTGAACTGAAGCATGGAAACTTGAGTGCTGTGGTTCCCTGCCTCAGGGAGCTGCCTCCTCAGGCTGGAGAGTGGTGCTGTCCAGAGCACAGCTGCCTTGTGGGGCTTTCAGAAACACTGACGCTGTGACTGGGCACAGTGTCTGAAATGGCTTGTGCAGAGATTTGAATTCCACACGAGTGAAAGTCGGTTGGTCTTCTTGTATACTTTATATTTTTCTTTTCCCTAAAGTGAAACTAAGCAGTTTAGTCTTCTCTCTTGGGAGCACTTAAAAAAGCATTTCGCAGAAAGGATGCCTGTAGTAGAAAGAGAATTGTTCATTATTGATGTCATATTTTAGCCTCCTTAAAAAACAGTTATGTGGTTGTTTTTGTAGTTCTTTTGTAAATGAATCATTTTCACTTTGTATTTATCAGAGAGATCCTTTGAATTTTTTTGCCCAGAAATATTTTTGTATATTCATATCTTGAAAATAGAAGGAGGGAAATTTCTGGGGTTTCAGTAAACTAAAGCCTTCACTGAGAATGTGGCCTTTTTTTCTGGAGAATGAATCCTGGAAAATTTAAATCCGCAGATTAAATTAAGAAAAAAATCTTTCTTTACTACCTAACTTCCTTAGCACATCACACTTTCTGGTGAGTCAGTAGATAATTTACATAATTTTTATTGGCATTTGATTTATGGGACTTTTTGTTAATTTAGCCTCACAAGAGCATATCTTTATTTACATTTTCTGTTCTTCAACTTTGTCTCTTACATTGTGTAAAATATTACGTACATGCATCAAAGGTATGTAATAAAGGTATACACAAATCATTAGAATATTAAAAAAATATGAGTACACTTCAAGGCAAAAATTTGTTCTAAAATATTTGGGTCTAGTAAGTTTTTCTGAAAAGCAGCTATGCCCAATGGTTATGAAATACAAACTCAGATAATCCATTCCCTTAAAGAACAAAGCTGTTGTAGTTGTCTCTGTATATATGTCTGCAAAAGCCAGTCTTTATTTACAAATCAGAACAAAGACCAGATAATGGACTGTCAAAGCATTTTCTGTCAAGTGACTTTTTGTCACTTTAGATGTTACTTGCTTTCATAAACATGATGAAACACTATATGATATCACATAACCATACATCACAGGTAAATTTAAGATTCTTGACATGAAAAGCACATTGCTGAGGCAGATGAGAGGCAGCTCTTTCCTAATCACCAATCATGTCTGACACAAGATTATTAGGATACATAGAGTAGGTAATTAAACAGTATTTAATGTTTTTTAGCAGAAAGCATTTTGGTGGAAGTACTTAAATGGATCTAAGCTTTTCCAAAACTGTCGTGGTGCCATAAAATTCAGTCTAAATCATGGCACCATAGAATTAATCCTAAGTTTGCGTATCTTGTCTATTCAGATGTATTCAGAGCTATGAAACATCAGTACAGACTGTACCTATATCAAAGCAGACTGCAGGCCCAGAGGCTAAAAATAGTTGGGGGTTTGGTGCTGAACTAGGACAAAAATATTCCAGTTTATTGGTTCTAAGATTCTGGAGTTCGCTTCTACGTTAACTCCCAGAGAGATAATAATTTCCATGAGTGTCCAGTTATGTTGCAGAGTAAAGTGAATTAGACCATATTGACCCTGAGATAAGCTCAGCTGGTTAGAGTGTGGTGCTAAAACACCTGGGCTGTGGGTCTGATTCCCATCCAGACCACTCTTTTAAGAGTTGAACTCAACAGTCCTTGAGGGTCCCTTCCAACTCAGAAGACTTCTGTGATTCCTTCTGAGTTTGCACCTAAATAATGCTAAAACAGTGGCATATGAGGAACAACTTGCATTATAAGTGAGACATTCAAAAGCAGCAGAACACAATAATATTGGAAATAGCAATTATAAGACACATTTTGTAATAAAAAAGTTTACCTGAAAGAAACTTACCTGAAATTGAACATGGTGAGAAAGCTGCATTTATTTTAAAAGAGGTGAAGCATACTGTTTTGTATGTTTGCATGAACACTGTTGTCCAACACTTAGGCAGACTCTAGAAAATCTGATTGTTAATCTTGGTTATTCTCTTGATAAAATTTCCAGTGTTTGTTTATTCTGCGCTCTTCAAAAAAAGCTACAATATATAGAGCCTATTTTTTTAGCCATGAAAATAATCTGGACAGTCTCATTGACAGTGCATGTAGAGAATTGAAGGTAAAATCTTGCATCATAAAACTGCATTTGACTGTTCTTCAGCTGTTGGGAATGTGGCTATAAATTAATGGAAGGTATGTTTTCAAGACATGAAACCATTTGTGTAGACAGCTTGAGGCTCTAAATATGTGAATTGTAGTTGTAAGAAATAAAGATAATTTTTGAATTGCCAACTCTAAGGAACATGGAACTTTCAAGGGAAAGGGAAATGTTTTCTTCACTTCAGAAACTGAGATAATTTGGTTTTAATTTTTCATAAGACTGTTTGGAGTATTCCACCTGACCTGTTGGAGCTGGCAGTGATTATTGCACATTTGCATTTCTGAAGACTGAATTGCTGAGGTTTTA